TCTGACCTCTGTAATTGTAAACAAAGGTTTCAGTACCAAATATTAAGTTCTATTTTTCTATTGTATCAAATACTTATTTCATGCAATAAAATGGAAATAAATTATTTAAAAATCTAAATATGATTTTCTGGAATTTTTTTGTAGATTCTGTCTCTCACAGTTGAGGTGTACCTACAATGAAAATTACAGATCCGTCCATTCTCTGTAAGTTGGAAAACTTGAAAAATTGGCAGTGTATCAAATACTTATTTGCCCCACTGTACAATTGTGCATACAAGTGTACCTAATAAAGTTACCAATGAGTGTATAGTGTATACATTCACAAGAGATAGTAACAACACTGTTCCTGGTTTTCTACATAAATTGGTCATGAAATAAGATGAACACTGGAAAACAACTTAAATGGCTAGTCAACTGCTTTAATCAAGAAAAATCTTTGCAGGGGTACAAGCTGTATCAACCTCACTGAACAGCAATCCCATCCCTATGTTGCAGTAGACAGGACATAGCTTTTACTGTTTCCCAGCAAGCACCAAGTTATCACATTGTTGTTTCTAATTACCATTATGCTAATCACTGCTACAAGCAAGGAAAAGCATTGTTTATTTAATTTCTAAATGAACTACAGGCCATTCAGGGAATGTGCTATTACAGTTTATGTTAAACACACTCATTGTAATGGCCAGATTACTCTTATGTGGCTCAAATGAGGCTAATGGAAAGCAATGACAAGAACAGCAATCATGCACTCCCACTATGAAATCTACACGTGTGCAGAGACAGAAATAAATATAAACATACATGCCTGCATGTGCGTACACACACACACAAAAAAAAAAAAACACAACAAAACAAACAAAAAACATGTACAAGTCAAGTCTTGGTACTCACATGTTTTGACAGGTTGGCACTCTTTGAATCAACATCATACCTACAGAAAAACAGAAACAGAGAGATGAGTCAGTGAATTAGAAAGTGGTGGCTGGTGACACAAGAGGATTACAGACAGGGTAAATAAATCAGTAACAGTACCAAGCAGCTTGTCTTCAACAATTTCCACCAGCATCACAGGCTCAAAGGCATCCTCTATTAAACTGACACTAAATGGACTAACTGATGGTCACACATATGATTGTGAGAGTACATGTTTGTGCATGTGAGAGAGGGGGGGTCAACAAGAATCAAAGACATTATGCTAGTGAGTAACTAAGTGTTCTTCCTCATTTGTGTTTCAATCTTTTCATTAGTGTTAGTTTATTACTTGCAGGCCTTTCATACACACAGCGCTTGGAGAAAAAATTGGCCATAAGCTAGATGCAGAGACTAAAGAAATGGAAGCATTCAGACAAGCCATTCACTCAGCAATTTCAGGTCATTTCACCTACCACAAAAACTGACTGTCCTTTGCTGGGTAATGTTTTAGGATAAGACATTTGGGAAAATATAGTTACTTTATAAAAATGTTCTGGATAATAAACATCTGTGGATTGTTGATGCATGTTAGGTAATTTAGTTTCTAAAATTTATATGAATTCAAAGCATGACTGAGTATTTACTGAATGCAATAATGTGATATCTCACCATCAGCAGTTATTCTCAACCTTTTATAAATTCAAACTATCTCTACCATCTAACCAGGCACAGTCAGTTGTCCATCATCTACACCAGAATCCCAGCAACCATACGGACCTTTATGCCTTTGCATGCGTTTTTATATACTCATCTAAAAATATTTTTTCAGTGACACAGATTGTAAATAAGCTGTTTTGAAATCTATACACACTATTAATGGTGGTACAGACTTGTAGGGGTATAATTCATATTCAGAAGACACACTGTTGTATTCCTCTGTTACTGTTTTTATTTCCAAAGATTCTCTACTTCATGGGCCCGGGGGAGAAAGCATCCTTTCACCTGCTATCATCTCTGTTACCTCTATGGGCCAGCAACAGCAGCTATCCGTGGCTGTTAGACATGAGAGGAGCAACAAGCTACAGTAGATCCATGCACACACACATCCAAAATGCAGATGCACATATGAACAAACACTAAACTAGAGGAACATGCATGCAAACACATTTACACACAAAGACTACTTCTTTGAAGTTTGTGTGTAGGTGTTTGTGTGTGTGAGAGAAAAAAAGAGTAGTCCTACACACTGAGAAATACTAGTGTGTGGCTATTGAAATGAGACAAAATGTAAATGTAATTATGCAAAAACCATAAAAAATATCAAAAAGCTGTTTACTGTATGAATAGCTGAAGGGTTGCTGAATAGTTATTAGTTGAAATGGTGTCTTTAGCTGAAGATGTGCTCAAGATATTAAGATGTGATTTTTCCCATTCATTTGAATGGGGCAAAATTTGCAAAAAAAGCTGAATATTTTAAAAAGTATAAAAGTTACAAAAAAATCTGAATACACACAAATGTTGACCTTAAAAGGCTGAACATTTTGATACCAGAATGGCTTTTCTAGCTCAAAGTATGCTGAAGTTATTATTTTCCCATTCATTTGAATGGGAAAAACTTTGCAGAAAAAAGCTAAATAGTTCAAAAAGTATGAAGTTTAGAAAAATCCTGAATAAAAGCAGGAATATCCTTGAAGAGCTGAACATTTTGATGTTTGAATGGTTTTTTTAGGTGAAAGTACAGTATGCTGAAGTAGTTGAACACCAAAAAACGTATGGAAAAAATCAGAAGAAAGACTAGGATAACAATAGTGTAATAAATAAAGACAAGGAAAACATAGTGTGGATGCTTGTCAGCATACACATAATTACAGAAGTAAAACATGCCCACACAAAAGCCAGAAGTTGTTTTTGTTCCTCACATGTTCACTTCCATTAAAAATTCAAATCACTCAAGACACCATAGGCACACAGCCGAGGCATGGGTGCAGCTACCTAAACAAATCAGGAGGAATAAACATAATGCACGCACGTGCGCGCACACACACACACACACACAGATGTCCTAAGCATAAGAATGTCACAGCACAACAAATAAGTGTGTGCATTTGTGTGTATGCCTTTACAAGGGTGTATATGGGTGTCTTTGTATGTCTGTGTGTGAGCTGTATATAAAAAAGAGACTCTCACTGGAGTTTCATCTACGGTACACTACAATTCAAAAGTTTTACTGGTAGTGTAAAAGCAGAATGTGATGCTGTCTCTGATAAAAAAAAAAAAGGTATAAAAACGTGTGCTACAGTTTTAGCCTGTACACAAAGCTATTTTTAATCATACATTTGCAGCAGAGGAAAGTGATTCAGTGATTTTTTTAATCAAATAAAATTAAACAATGAATCTAATGTAAAGATATACAACTTAACACAAAAGTCAAAGTACTTCGTGTTCTTAATTTTTAAGTAACAAGTTTTTATCAGTACATTCATGTGTGAAAAATATACAGTACTAGTTTGT